GACAGGACAAGGGGCAACGGGCATAAACTGAAGCAGAGGAAGCTCCAGCTGAACCTGAGGAAGAACTTCTTCCCTCTGAGGGTGACAGAGCCCTGGCCCAGGCTGCCCAGGGAGGCTGTGGAGTCTCCTTCTCTGGAGATATTCCAGCCCCGCCTGGACGCGGTGCTGTGCAGCCTGCGCTGGGTGACCCTGCTTGGGCAGGGGGTTGGGCTGGGTGACCCCCAGAGGTCCCTGCCAACCCTCGCCATTCTGTGATTCTGTGGGTTAAGTCCCCCAGGAATAAGGGTCTTGAACTAACCTGGAAGTTGGGGTTTGTTTTTCTGTTCCCTCTTCCCCTTCACGTTCAGTTCCCTTCCCAAGGGAAGGCAAGGGGCGTGCTGTAAAATCCCTCCGTGCTCCGTTGTCGCGCTCGCTCCGTAGCTGCTGGGCTCGCTCCGCTCCTCGGCGGTGGCCAAGGGCAGGTATCCAGATGCCGATCCCGCTCCTGCTGTTTCCCTGCATCTCTCCTGCCTTTGACTTCGTGCCAGGTCTAACTCGAGTCATTAGCAAGCGTCACTGCAGCAGTTATGGCACTTTTTGGCTGCCACTCACAAAGCTACGAACGGGAACGATTGAGCGTGGAGAGGTGTCAGCCTTCTCCTGCACCACCTGTTCCCACCAGCCGCCGGCTGCTGGAAGGTGCCTCCAACCATCTCCCCTCCTCCTGCTTCCCTTGCCAGGTCCTGCGCTGGCTCCCGCGTCGGGAGGGTGGTGGAGGCAGGCGGGTGGCATCCCGGCGGGGTGGACCCTTCATCCTTGTGTCCCCAGGTTGGGAGGTTACAGCAGGCGTGGCGGGGAAGAGGCACAGGAGGAGGACTCGGCGCAGCAGCATCCTCCTGGACCGGGTCATGGTTAATGATCTGTGCTCAAGGAAGGACAAACTGCCCCTGTGCAGCTCCCTGCTTGGCTGGTAGCGTTCTGCTTTGCTCGCGTGCGCGCCGTCGGCTGGGGACGGGCACGAGGTTAAAACCCGTTGCCTCGGTCTGCAGGCAGCCTCCTCGGTCCCGGCCGCTGCGGATGCGAACGCTGAGCGGGGTGCCGGGGGAG